GGCTGGTCTCCAACTCCTGACCTTGAGCGATCCACCCGCCTCGGCCTCCCAGAGTGCTAGGATTACAGGCGTGAGCCACCGCGCCCAGCCCCAGCTGCTCTTTTTAATGTCAAGATTTTGTTTTGAAATCATAGTTATGAAAGCACTTGGGAAAATGTAAAGCATTATATTGCAAACTAAAATATTATAATCTCTTTTTCTTTCCTGGTAGATATTTTAAGATTCAGAAATACTTCGTTTTTGGCCCCTTCCCTCTCTCTCTTTACAATAAATTCTTCCTCCTCGTCGGGTGGGATTGTGGCCAGATGTGCTGCTGGAATGTTCCCCCTGGACACGTTTGCTGCCGTGTGTCTGTGAGTATGGGCATCTGAGGGACCTGGTTGGGATGTTATCTGTTGGTCCTGTTTTATCAACTTCCCCTAACCAACTGCATTTAAACATATAATTTCATTCATTGAATGGGGTCTGGCCAATGCTGCCTGTTTGCAGGGTACTATGAATGTTTGTGTCCCCCCAAAATTCATGTTGAAACATAACCCCCAATGTGATAATATTAGGAGGCAGGGACTTTGAAAGGTGATTAGATCATGCAGGTGAGGCCCTCATGAATGGAATTAGTGTCCCTTTATAAGGGACCCCAGAGAGCTCCCTAGTTCTTTCTACCATATGAGGACACAGCTAGAAGCTGACATCTGTGAACCAGTAAGTGGGCCCTCACCAAACACTGAATCTGCCAGATCCTTGATCCTGGACTTCCCAGCCTCTGGAACTGTAAGAAATAAATTTCTGTTGTTTATAAGCCACCTAGTCTACAGTATTTTGTTATAACAGCCAAACAAGGAAATGCAAAAGTGTTCAAGAGGAAAGCCAGCCACACCGAAATGTGACTGGGGTTTGGGACTACTGAGAAATGTGTCCTGTTCCAAAATATTCCTAGTCCTGTCATGTGACCACTGGAAACTAGTTTCTTTTATTGGAGGCATTGCCTCTCCTACAAATACTACAACAATCTTGCTCATTACTTCTTGTTTACATCGTGGATTTCCTTAGGATAAATTAAATAGGAATAGAGTTGCTGGGTCACAACTCTTGAATCATTGAACAATTCATTTATTCTGCCCCTAGTAGGAAACGAAACATCCATGTCTGTTTCCTGACCCTCTCGCCAGCATCAAAAGCCACGATCTTTATTAAAACTAGAACCAATTTGATAGGTGAATAAATTGGTTTAATTGACGTCTTTAAACAACTGGTAGGAGAGGTTTTTCTTTCGTAAATTTATCTGCCACTTGTATTTTTCTTCTGTAAATTCATACTCCTCACCTCCTTTCCATGTGTGTGTTAGTTGGGTTCTTATTGATTTTTAAAGTTCATCACATAAAGGATGTTATATATGTCATAGTCATATCAGCTGCAAAATCGTGTCATCTTCCTCAGTATTCTGGTTATTTTTTGTTTACGATTTTCAAAATAATTATAATAAGGAGTAAAGTGAAATCCATTAATATTTTCCTTTGTAGTTTTTTCATTATTTGTATTCTTAGAATGTCATTCTCCACCCTTAACATTGATAAATATTTCACCTACATAAATAATAAGTGATTTTGTTTTGCACAGGGCTGTTTGCTCTGTGTCTTGTTTGGTGTTGTGTGAAATGAGGCTTGGCCCTGTGTGTCTTCTCTCCACAGGTTCATCACCTTGCTGGGTCTCTGCCTTCCTCTGGCTGGAACTGTGTACGTGGCAGCCAGGGGCTGGCGGGCAGAACGCAGGACGTCGCCGGAACATGGGACACCTTCGGCCAGTTACGGGAGTCTGCCTTTGAGAGAGGCGGGGAGCCGGGAACAAAGAAACAGGGTCCCGTGGACACACTGCCTGGCCCATCTCTCACTGTCAGAAGCCCTGAGCGGAGGAAAAAGTAGGCCTTTTAATGAAACTAAGACCACCCAAGAGAGGTGACTTAGAGTGTGCAGTTGGAACATAATTCTTGCAGCGCTGGATTCTAGTGAATGCCCAGCGACTTCCAAATGTCAGCGTGGAGGCCGGATCTCCGCTCTTTACAATTCAGTCTTTGTTTACCATCAGTGCGTTCGGGCCAGGCGAGGTCACTAAAAATGCTGCTTTCTTTCCTGGGTACAATTATCCAGTGTGTGATTGTGCTGATCAAAGACGAGGTTAGAACAGAACTCGGGGGCTCACTGTAGTAATTCTCTAAGGGACGGTTCCAGGGTCGCAACATCTATTTTCAGTGTCATATTTACACACGTGACCCATAGAAGATCTGTGTCGTCACCGAGGTAAATGATTTACATGTAGATTGGAGCCGGGGGGCGAGTGCCACACAAGCTCATTCACACGGCAGATGTGTCTGAGCCAGAAACAGACAAGCCGGCGCAGCGCGGTGAGAGGCCGCGATTCAGTGAGTCACACTGTCGTGTTCAGTAAAAAATGAAGAGGATGACCTTTGTGCCTACCTGCCTATTCGGCACGGCAAATATTAATAGAATCTCTCTCTCACACACAAAAATAGCCTGGTCATGCAAACGCCTTTAGAACACATGGAATAATTTTTGGCAGATCCCCGTTCGGCCCATACAAATGTCCTTCCTCGCTCCAACCAGGGGGATAAAAATAAAACCAAATTTGAATGAATGGCCCAGCAGAGTCTGAATATATGACAAAGTGGCCAGCGTGGGAGACGCCCAATGTGGACGGCACAGCCGTGATTTTCTCAGATCCCATCCTGGTCTTAAGGCAAAACAAAAACAGCAGGGACACCAACAAAAAGCCCCAACAACAACTGAAACACAAAACGTGTTTGTGTAAACATAGATGTAATCTAAGTGCACATATAAGAATAACATCTATTGGATGTTGGGCAGGAGGGAAGGGGAGGAGGGAGGGGGGAAGACGGAGGAGGGGACGGGTATTTGCATACACAAAGAGTGCAATGCGCACGATCTAAGGGATGGGCATACTTGAAACTTGGACTTGGGGGGGAGGGGGGAGCAAGGGCAACATACATAACCTAAACATCTGTACCCCCATAATATGCTGAAATAAAAAAAAAAAAAACACAAAAAAACAGAAACATAGATGTGATCTAAGGAGGAGCAGAGAAGGCCTAGAGCTTGGAGGGGCAGCCTCCTTCCTGAAGCCGGAAACAGCTCTGCCCGCCTGGCGGCTCCCTGAGAGCCCGTCTGCGCCGGGAAGCGCCAACTGTTAGCTTCCCAACGGGAGTCAGCCCCTGCCGCCCTGTCATTTCTGCCCAGGGGCCCTGCTTTTGCCGTCTAAGGCCCCAGAAAATAAATATGCCATCTTGTTTCTATGACAGCCCGATCAGATATTCGGGACGGTCATGATGGCCTGGCCAAGTCTCAGCATCCCCCAAGTACTTCTTACGTGATGCGGGTCTAGACCCCTCTCTCTGTCCCCTGGCGGCCCTGTAGACAGTTCCGCGGTCCGCACGGCATAGCGAGCACGTGCTCAGCGACCCCCGTCACACCTGCCGCCATGGCTAACTCTGACCTTGGTCAGATTGGCCTTTAGGAGCCTCGGTTTCCACGTGTGTAAAACATGGCCAAGTAATGGGACTTACTGGAGGAATTAAATGAGATGACGTGTACTTACCCACCCTAGGTTCAGTCCTCTTTTCCGCATTGTCTTCAGTTAAGCCGGGAGAGGGGGAAGGGGTGAGGGCTTTAACTTGCCAACACCTCCTGCTCGGCCGCGCTGGCTTCCCGAGAGAGCAGCAGTCAGCCGAGGCCGCCAATGTGCCACGGGCGTCTGACGCCGATTGAAGGGGGACTGCGGCCTCGACCTTCGCCACTGCGATCATCTGTGGCAGGCAGCCCACAGAGCCCCGCACTTCAGGTCTGGATCACAGGATTTAGGGCAGACACACCCGGTACGGTGTCGGGAACTGAAACTTTAGGTTCCTCACCCCAATCGAGACCCCCTGTGAGCGAGACACTGGGGGTGTGGTAGCTCAGAGTGGTTTCCTGTCGCAGGAGCCCGTCCTTTGCTGTTTAGATGGGAAAAATACAAGCGAACGTGTGAGGAAGTTTCCATGGAGTAAATACGTGGCTATGGATTTCAGACCCTGGACGTCAGCACACTTACCTCGTGGTCAGTTGCCTCGGGTGGCCTTGCCGTGCTAATGACTGAGAAACTCCACAGGGGCTGCCAGGTCTTCTAAAGCATTGTCACAGCCCGCGAGGCTCCCACGTTGGCATGCCTCAGGATGCCTGCAGGGCTGGTTATAGCGTAAGTTGCCAGGCCCTAACCCAAAGATTCTGCTTCCGTAGGGCTGCAGGGGGCCTGGAATGTGCATTTCTAATAAGCTCCCAGGTGATGCTGAACCTGCTGGCCCGGGAACCCCCAGTTTGAGAACCAGTGACCACGTGCGTTATTTCTTCCAGTCCCTCCGTGCCTCTACGGTTTATAACATTTTCTATTTACGACTGTCTTCCTACGGACCAGTTATTTTCAGAGGACTTACAAACCACTGATGGATAAGTTCACTTCTGAGGAGATTTTAGATGGAAAAACATAATAAGAAAATGTATCGAGCGCTTGCTTGCCACGGTGGGCATCGGGCCAGACATTGGACATTGTTCTAGAATCCTCACAACAACCCTGCCAAAAATCATGCCTATTCTAAAAGTGAGAAAACCGAGGCTCAGAGAGGTTAAAGAACTCGGCCAGCCCTGGCAGAGCCCAGGTCCTGTATCTCTCTGTCACTGCCTGTGGCTTCTCAGGAAACCGAGGGTGAGCCAGGTGGCACCTGCTGGCTGTGCTGCTCTCACTGCCAGCTCCTGGTGAGAGAAAATCCTTCTGAATGAAAAGGGTGAGTGCTGTGGCTTCAGGCAGAGACACAATCGCAACGAGTGACTTACATGCAAGAAACTCCTATTTATGGCTGGAGCTTCAAAATGTTAGGTCATGAAGTTCTTCGGTTGAAGAGATTGATTTAGATTGCCAGAGCCTGGCTGTCAGTTTTCATTCTGCGAGGACCTGTTGGTGCACACAGTGTTTAAGGCACGGAGCTCTGTCCAGGGGAAAACAGGAATCTCTCAGAGACGGCGTGAGCTTCGGAGCTCCTCTTTCACAATTCCAGCCGCTTCACTGGCTCTCAGGATAGGTCGAATTCAATTTAAAAAACAATAAAGGGAGTAAATTCAGTAGGTGATATGAACCATTCTTAAAACAATAGGGCTTAAAATAGTGGAAGCAGTAGCTGCGTTCTCATGAGCACGTACCATGGGTTGGCCTCTACTTGAAGTGATTTATTAATGTAAGCGTCGTCTCATTTGTTCTATGTAATAGTCCTGTGATGATAAGATCTTGATTTCCATTTTGCAGAATGGGGAAACTTAGCACAGAGAAGTTAATTCACTTGCCAGAGGTCACAGAGCTAATAAATGACAGCCAGATTCAAAAGCAGGAGTGTCTCTTAGGCCTGCACCCTACCCTTAGCTGCTGTGCCATCTGCCCCTTTGTTTTTGTGACTGTACCTTGACTTACATTCAGGTTGTTATTCATAAGTGGCTTGTCCTCTGGAATGCACCAGAGATGCCGTTCCAAGTGACACGCTGGCTCTACGGATCACGTGGTTTCTCACTGACATCTATGTTCTCCTTCCCCGCAACTCTTCGTCAAACAGGACTGGGGTCAGGGGTTGGCCTCCCTGGGGCCTGAGCTTGGGCAGTGCATTCTGTGCAAGGCCTGTGGGGTACCAACCTCAGGTCAGGTCTGTTAGGGAAAGTCAAGGTTCAAAAGGAAGGGAGACCAAGTATGAAAGTCCACAGATACGCCAAGATGCAACCATGGAGACCCTAGCTGAGCAGTCCAAGGTCAGAGCCAGAGAGCTTCCGGGTGACTGCCAAGACCTCTCCGGCTCTTGCTGTGGGGTAGTGCGTGGATAGGTCTGCTGTCAGGGTGGACAGTAACACCTCTACTCTTGCCTGGGGTTTCTAGGAGGCGTGGCTCACGCTCTGCAGTGCTTTTCTTGGCAGAAGAATGTGCCGGCCATCTGGACGACAAAGACACCAGGCGGCACCTGCCCTGCACTGAATGGCATCCGCGTCTTGAGTCTCCTCTGGATCATCTCGGGACACACCAGTCAGATGACCGCATGGCTGTCTTTGGGTGAGGAGGGCTGATGAGCCTTTACTCTAGGAGCAGCCAGGGAAGAGAGACTCTCTGGTGTGCTGGGGTCATGTTGGGCCGGAGGACGGGAGGCTGGCAGCCTTGCCCACGAGCAGCCTTCCTTCTGCTTTGGAGACACAGCATGTGGCTGCCCATAAGTGAGATTTCCAGGCCAGTGTCCAATGGCTCCTTTAACTCCTCGTAGGTAGAAATCAGACACCTGGCTACCAGCTGGATACCTGGTATTGTATTTTCATCATCCAAAGAGCTGGGTTTTCCCTCCTGTCATGATTAATGAAGCCAGGAACAAACATATTTTTTTCTTCCTAAAAAATAGGCAAGCAGAAATAAACATGGTGCCCTAGTACCAAATCAATGTTTCTCAACCTTGCCCATGTTGCTACCCTCCTAAAGCACTCCCGCCAATAACAGGAGTACCCTCCCAACAGGGTACCACACACCGGTATCAGAATTGAGGGGAGGGGCCAGTCCAGGCCCATGGGAAGAATCCTCCAGGTGATCTGCACCAGTCCCAGGGGCTGCAGCCCCTGTGGGAGCACAGAGGAGCTCACAGCCTTTGAATGACAGGGACCTCGGGTACCACCTTTTGTTCCCAGTCTAAGTTCTCTTTTTAAGTAAATTACAGTGATTCTTAAAGCCTTTCCAACACGACTGAAAACTGAAGGTGTTCCTCTTGCTTTTTCTGAAAAGAGAAATCACACGATTTTCTTCCATTAAACAAAAAGACACTTTTTTGTTGTTGTTGTTGTTGTTGTTTTTAACGTTTGTTGCAGATAATGTACTTGAATGGAAAACCAGAGTGCTTAAAAACCCACTGTACCTTTCTTCTCGGAGTGGCCCATTCTATCTCGGAGTTGATACATTTTTCCTGATCAGGTAATAAGGTCAAGCTATATTTTTCTGCTGTTGTGCTTGTTGCTGTTAGTTTTGGGATGCGTGTGTTGCCATTCTCACTTTAGTGAGAAAAGCTGAGTGGCCCACATTCATTCACCTGGGCCTTTGTTCTGTCCATTTCTAGACAGTACTGTGGTCACAAGTGACTCTCCTCTCTATCTTTGGTTTATTAACTGACTTAGGATGGCTCTAGAACACGGACTTTTGACAAAAGTCGATTTTATTCATCAAAATTATTTATTTCATTGGTTCTCAAATTCTGGTTCATAGACTGTACAGATCTATGATGAAGTTTCCAATTCTCACTACAGTGAAATGGGAAAAACTAAGAAAATGGTGTGATGTTTCCCAAAGTTATGTTTATTTAAATGAACTATTAAGAGTTAACAGGCCGGGCGCGGTGGCTCACGCCTGTAATCCTAGCTCTCTGGGAGGCCGAGGCGGGTGGATTGTTTGAGCTCAGGAGTTCAAAACCAGCCTGAGCAAGAGCGAGACCCCGTCTCTACTAAAAATTAGAAAGAAATTAATTGGACAACTAAAAATATATAGAAAAAAATAGCCGGGCATGGTGGCGCATGCCTGTAGTCCCAGCTACTCGGGAGGCTGAGGCAGGAGGATCGCTTGAGCCCAGGAGTTTGAGGTTGCTGTGAGCTAGGATGATGCCACGGCACTCTAGCCCAGGCAACACAGTGAGACTCTGTCTCAAAAAAAAAAAAGAGTTAACATTTCTTAATTGTGTGATAAATGTCAAGCACTACATTAAGTACTTTGTAGCAGTATCTCATTTAATTCTCATGCTATCCCTGTGCAGTAGGATTGTTAAAATTCCCATTTTTTTTGTATTGAGGTGAAATTCACATAACATAAAATTAACCAAAGTATAAAATTTAGTGGCATTTATTATATTCATAATGTTGTGCAACTACCTCTATCTAGTTCCAAAATATTTTCATCATCCTAAAAGAAAATCCCATACCCATTAAGCAGTTACTCCCTAATTTCTGGAAACCACCAATGTGCTATTTCTATGGATTTACCCGTTCTAGATGTAGCATATAAATGGAATCACACAATGTGTGGCCTTTTGTGCCAAACTTCTTTCATTTAGCCTGATTTTTTGAGGTTTGTCCACGTCGTAGCATGTAACAGTGCTTCACTCCTTTTTATGGCTGAGTAATATTCCATTGTGTGGACACGCCACAAAATCCTTATTTAAAGATAAAGAAGCTGAGATGGAGGGGGATAGTCCTAGTGGACCCATATCCAAACCCAGAATCTATGCTGTTAGCCATTGTGCTGTTCTCTTTCTACCTCTTTTGGGTAAAATGTCCCTTCCTTTATAGGGAGATGGTGACGGCAGATGGCGTGCATGCAGCCACCCAACCCAAGGCATTTATCGAATGCGCCTTTGTCAGGCATAGTTCTACACCCTGAGGATGCATTGATGGGTAAAACAAATGAGGACCCCTCATGGGCTTCCATTAGTGAGCGTGTGCGTGCATGAGAGGCAATTAACAAATAAACAAGAGACAATCCGAGAGTATTAATAGTTAACGCCAGGAAAGAAATAGAACAGGGGGCTGGGAAAGGAAGACTGGGTAGCTGCTTAGGCCAGGTCTGAGAAGGCTTGTCGGATGAAGTGCTATTTCAGCCGAGACCTGCATGGCAAGAAAGAGACGGCCATGGGAAAATCTGGGATAAGAAAGTTTCAAGCAGAGGGATCGACTCATGCAAAAGTGCTAAGGCCAGAGAGAGCGAGCTTGTCAAGGAGCAGAAAGAAGGCTAAGCATTGTGAAGGTGGGGGAGAGTGGGGGAAGGGGAACACACGAGGGACGTGAGCTAGACCACAGAGGCACCTTGTGGCAGCCCTAAGGAGTGCGGACTTCAGTCTCGGTGAAATGCAAAGTCGTTGCATAGTTTCAGTTTGGAAAGTGATGCGAGCTGACTTATTTGAAAACTGGCTCCAGAGTGAATAATGGACTAAGAAGGGCAGGAACGGAAGCAGGAGAACAACGCGGTGACCTTTGCCCTATCTCAGATGAGAGATGATGAGGCTGGGGTGGTGATGGCTGGGATAGAGAGAGAAGGTCACATGCAAGAGATGTTTCAGAGGTGGAATTGTGAAGACTTGTGGATGGATGTGAAGTGCGAGAAGAGAGACGTTGGTGACGGTCTCTGGGTTTTGGTTTCAATAACTGTGGAGATGGCAGTGGCATCGCTGAGATGGAAAAGCCTGCAGAAGCAGGGTCCGCAGGGACAATCGAGCTTTCTGTTTTAGACAAGTTAAGAGGAAGGGGCCTTGTAGACATCTGCATGGAGAGGTCAGGTGAGCAGCTGGCCGTGCAAGTTGGGAGATCAGTGGAAAGTAAAGGCAGGGGACGTAAGTTTCAGAGTCCTTGGGATATAGGAGGCATTTAAAGCCACAGTACTGGATCTGATCCCTTTAGGAGGAGACAGAACGACAGATGGGGACTGAATACTAGGACCTCCGGTATTTCAACCTTAGAAGCTGGGAAGAGGAAGAGCCCACAGAGGGGTCTGAGAGTGAGTGACCAGCGACATGGAGACTCAACTAAGACACTGAGGTGACCAGGAAGCCAAGAAAAGAAAGCCTCTCAAGGAGGAAGAGTGTGGTCAGTGTGGCCCAATGCTCCGGGAGTTGACTATGCAAAGAAGTGATGATCGTTCGATTTGGCAACCAGAGGGCTTTTGGTGACACTGGCAGGAACAGGGTCGGTGGAGTGGTGGAAACCGAAGCCCGGAGGAGTGGGGTGAGGATGGGAGGGTGTAGAGACGCTGACTGTGCGCAGCTCTCTTAAGACCTTCCGCGGTTTAGGGGAGAAAAGAAACAGAGTGGGGCTGTGTGGTTATGGGGGACAAAGGAAGGTCGTTTGAAGAGAAGGGATTCAAGACATATCAATAGTGTGTTGGGCATGGCTGAAGAGAAAGGGACAAACTGATGGATGCTGGAGATGCTGTTTTTGGCTAAACAATAACAGCGGCAACAGAGCAATGTTTTAATAAGTATGCCCATTTTAAAACAAATTTTACAATTCCATGAAATTCAAAAGTGTATGAACCACTGGGTTAGGTGAGAATTAGTTCCCACGCTGGGAGGAGCAATAGTGAGGGATTACGAATCACCATCCGCTTTCTGCAACACTTACCTCCCTGGCATCCTGGTGGCCTGCTCCCCCTTCTCCTTTGAGTTTTCATGCAAATGTCACCTTCATAGCAAAGACTTCCTTGTTGCCCATATTTAAAATGAACCCATTCAGCGTTCTCTGCTTCATTTTTCCTGATTTACTTATTTATTTTTTCTCTTTATCTAACATATTATAGATACCACTTTTTTTTTTTTGAGACAGAGTTTTGCTCTATCACCCGGGCTAAAGTGCAGTGGCATCAGCCTAGCTCACTGCAACGTCAAACTCCTGGGCTCAAGTGATCCTCCTGCCTCAGCCTCCCGAGTAGCTGGGACTACAGGTGTGCACCACCACGCCTGGCTAATTTTTTCCACTTTCGGTAGAGAGGGGATCTCGCTCTAGCTCAGGCTGGTCTCAAACTCCTGACCTCAAGCGATCCCCTGCCTCGGCCTCCCAGAATGCTAGGATTACAGGCGTGAGCCACTGCGCCCAGCCTAGAAGCCACTTTTGATTGATTAATTATCTCTCCTCTGGAACATAAGGCAGGAATTTTGTTTTCTGTTTTGTGTACTGCTGTGTCACCAGAGCCTAAAGCCCTGCTAGCTATAGGTACCACTCAGTAAACCATTATTGAAAGAAATGACTTTCTAATTGTTTTATCTCAAGACTCTGTTGTGATAGTTTCTCTTTTTTTTTTTGAAACAGAGTCTCACTGTGTTGCCCGGGCTAGAGTGCCGTGGCATCATTCTAGCTCACAGCAACCTCAAACTCCTGGGCTCAAGCGATCCTCCTGCCTCAGCCTCCCGAGTAGCTGGGACTACAGGCATGTGCCACCATGCCCGGCTAATTTTTTCTGTATATTTTTAGTTGTCCAATTAATTTCTTTCTAATTTTAGTAGAGACGGGGTCTTGCTCTTGCTCAGGCTGGTTTTGAACTCCTGAGCTCAAACAATCCGCCCGCCTCGGCCTCCCAGAGAGCTAGGATTATGAGCCACCGCGCCTGGCCTGTGATAGTTTCTTGTGGTAATGTAAAGTTGGAAGCAGAAGGAGCTGAGACCCATCTGTGAGAGCAAAGTAGGGAGTGACCAAGGTGACAACAGAGTGTAGCCCAGGCAGGCACAGGTCAGAGTCCCCAGTCTGCAGCAAACCCAGTGGTGATATGGGAACCACTGGGTGTCAGACTTTCCAAGAGGGCACGGCTGGGTGCAGCCCAGGAGCCCTGGAGGTGGGGGAGGTCTGCCGATGGGCGGCAGGCAAAGACTAGAATTCTGTTCCCCGCAAATGCGACTAGCAAGAACGAGGCAAAAAAGATACTACCCTATCTCAAAAAAAAAAAAAAGAATGACTAGTTGGTGACTGTTTTGTAATCCTTCCGCACCTCTTGGGCTGGCTTCATCCATCTCTAGTGCGTGATTGTCTCTGTCGCAGTCTGTTCAGGACTCCGGATCTCGGCCCCTTGTAACGTTATCTTGCACAGAGCCTGCTTTCCTGCCAGTCCTGATCATCCTCTCTGTATGAACTTGAAGGCTGGGCGGTGCATGCCGGCACACATAGCCAGACCCAGGCTTTGCTCAGCAACCACACTGGCAGAGGGGGAGTCGGTCACTCTGAAAAGAAAAGAGTGCCCTGATTCCCCCTTTCCTGAAATTAAGAAGAGGCCGGAATCAGAATTGGCTGCCCTACTTCCACTCCTTAGCACTCTCTTTCAGATGTCTCTATAAATTTTGTTTCTATTATAATGAGTCCAACTTAATGCTTTTCAAAGGAAAATCTGGCAGGCAGAGAATAAAAACATTCTCCAACCCTCCCTGATCCCTTCCAAGTCCTGCCCAGCACGCACAGCTTTGTTTTGCAATAGGAATTACATCTGCTCCTTAGGGAAACAGCCACAAGGATCACTGGGATAAATGTCACAAGGTTGGGAAACTCACTCACAAACGTGCTAACCATCGAGTTAGAACTATAAGGCACAACCTCAGTTTCTTTAGCAGAACATTCTGGGTAATGAATTTGTCATCAGGATATGTTGGCTAAGAATTCTGTGATCTTGGGCAACTCAATAATCTTTGAGTTTCATTTTCCCTGTTAGGGAAGCAGGAATGAAAATATCTTCCCTTTTACCTAGTAGGCCTGTTTATTCATCCAGTCAATCATTTCCTTGGCAAACATTTATTGCAAAGTAGCTTGGTATGGCTGGAGAAGCAAAAGCAATCTCATTAGCAAAAGTACTTTGAAAATGATGTGCTCCCACGGAAATGGAAGACTTTGATGTTATTATTTCAAAAGACCAATGTGGTAGTCATTAGTATTGTTCACCAAATATTTCTGTCTCTCTACCTTCCAGGCACTTGGTAACTTTCCACTTCATGGCCCCACTGTGGTTGAGTGGGCCAACCAGTAGATCTGATCAAGTGGTACCTGGTATTGCCATTATGCTAAGTGCTTTAAATTCTTATGCTAAGAGCTTTAAACATGTCACTTTTAGACCAGAGCATTTAATTGCTCGTTTGAGGCCCTCTAGAACTCTGTTGTCCTCTTCCATGGTCACTAGTGAACTTTCAGATGGTGGCAGCTCCATCAGCCTGGGTCCCACGGTGAGGACGATTCTGAGCTCAAGGCACCTGGCCCTGGGCGTGTAGCAGAGCCAAACTATCATTCTGAGACTTGGAGATGCTTTGTTACTGCAGCACAATTTATTCTACCCTGATTGAAACAACCGAATTAAATCAACCAATGAACTGTGCTACTGATAAGTAATTCCTGTGACTATTCTTTTTCTCTTAGCGGTTGGTTAAGTGCAAGGTCATTTTTAAAGATGCGTCAGAATTCAGACAAAGGAATAACCCCCAAGGTCATACTCAGATACTTTTTCAGCCGCCTGATAAGGTAGGTTTATTTATATAACTTCTCAATGTTCCTTATTGCTATGTAATGATTGATTATTTTCAGTCTTTAACCCCCTTTTGAAAGAATTTCCAAAAGAAAAATAAACTAAAAGAAATAGTTTTCTTCTTTATGCAGTTGATTTTTGCTGGTTTAATACGGTTCAAATTCTATTAGGACAAATCCCGTGAACACTGGTATCTTCCACTGGCAAAAACATCCTTATTCCTCAGCTGATGGACAGCAGATCTTAATAAAACATACAGTCAGATTTTCATAAAATCTATATTCAACAGAATTTGATTGCATGCAATTGAGTAATAATTGGATCCTGTAAATCAGAGCACTAACAGTAATGACAAAAACAAAATAAGACACAACCGGGAGAGGAGCTTGGTTGAAGCTTGGGCCAGCGGTCGTTCCGCTGGGAGCAGGGAGGAAGGATGATGGTCTCCGTTAGGAATGTGTGTGTGGCTGAAGCAGAAGAGATCCCAACATTGGGGCGGAATATGGAATCAGTGAGAGCAGAGTGGTAGTGACGGCCGAAGACAAAGGAGAAAAGGCAACTTCAGCTCATGTCATCCAACCTTTTTGTTTAAACATTTTCCAAATCATGGTTATTTGCTGGAAGCCAGCCCTCGTTACTTCTCTGGTCCAAACCCATCTTGTTACGCTGCACTGTTGCAAACTGAGAAGGAGAGTGTAGAAACCTTCTTCGGGGTAAGTGAAATGGAGTGGCAAGCAGACTCTGTGGTTGGAATGCTGAGCCTGCATTCTGGCTCACTCACTTCCCAGCTGTGTGACCTAGAGTAAGTGTCTCAACCTTTCTGTGCCTGAGTTTTCTCATCTCTAAAATGGGGAGAATGATGGCACTTACTTCATAGGACTCTTGTGACGATTAAATGAGATTATATATGTAAAGAACTCAGAAAAGCGCTTGACATACTGTAAGCCCTCAATAGGCAGAAGCTGTCATGATTACTGTTGTCATGTACACCTTTTAACTTTCGTTCAAATAGGTTAAGAGTGAGGGTGAGCTAAGGAATAGACTTTTGTTGATTTCTTCTCACCGTGGTCTTTGTGGTTTCCTCTAAGCTTTACCAAATTTAGCTTTCCTCCTGGGAAGGGCTGAATGCTCATTCTTTTAGTATATTTTGGGTGTGTGGCAGTGGGTTAAGCAGCTGTCCTGTCCTGAGGGTTTCTGGAGGAGAGGGACTGGCATATAAGCCCAGGTTCATGGTGATCAGTGCTAAGATGGGCTAGTTAGGGGTTGGAGCGGGTTCTGCTTGGGAAACCTACCTCAGAGTGAACATCTGGGGCTGGGCGTTGAAGAGTGAGGCATATTTTTCAGGGCAGATGGAACAGTGGTGGGAGCAGAGGAGCATGGGGTGTGAGTGGGGTGCTGGGGAGGCCTTGAGGACCAAGGATCCCGGTGAGTAAATTAGTGCAGTCTCTGGGCAGGAGGACAGGGTTGGGACTGGTGATTGGCAGTGGGAGTGGAGAGAGGAGAAAGCAAGGACTCTGGAATTTTCTGGCTTGAGCAACATGGCTGATGGTGTCGGCATTCTTGAACTGGGGGATGCTGGGAGAGTGAAAGGTTGGAGTGGGAGCTAGGAAGAGAATGTGTCCAATCTGGGACAAAACTTTCTTGAAAATGGAGGGAGTGACACCAAAGGCAACCCCAGTGAAAAGGGAGTCACGCTCCTGGCCATTTTGACTTCTCATGCATGCCGGTGTAACCACTTGGCTATGAGTTTATTCCTTGCCTGCTTACCTCCAAAGAGACTGGGAGTAGGACCGACCACTTGTTCCCTCACTTGTTCTGTATCCATCGGAGGCCCCCTACGTGCCAGGCACTGTCCTAAGCCTTGAGGACTCAGCGTCTTAATAAGCCATGCAAAAGTGCCTTCTTTCGTGCAGATTCCATTCTAGTGAAGAGAGGCAGACAATAAACAAATAAATATGCAACCTGGAGTCGCAGCATGCAAATAAACATGATAGGCCAGTGTGGATGAGTGTTGCAAAGGGATAATTTGGAGAAGGAAGTGAGGGGGCTTGCTGTGGAAGGGTAGTCAGGGAAGGTGACTTTTGGCCAGGACCTTGAAGGGAGTAAAGGAATGTTCCAAGCAAAGAAAATGCGGTGCGGGAAGAACGGTCCACTCAGGGAGAACCAAAGCGCAATCTCTTTTAGGGCATCTCATCTCCCCGCCCGCCAAGTACCCACTGAAGGGACAGAAGGGGACCCTTGTGGAGAGTCACCTTCTCTCTCCCGCTCTTTCCTGCCAGGCTGCAGCCTCTGCACGTGTATTCAGTGTGCCTGCTGGTGGGACTGTTCTCTCTCGTTCCCTGGGGTCCTGTCTGGGAAGTGCCCAAATTCCACTGGGATAACTGCCGACGAGCTTGGTGGACAAATCTGCTGTTGCTAAATAACTTTGTGTCGGTTCGGAATTCGGTGAGTCTCACGCTGGTGGCTGTGAAAGGACGGACGGTGTAAACCTGGTGTCTCACTTCACATGGTTTGGGGAACTTTCCAAGGGCCAACCTGAGTCCGGTCCCCTTTCTCTGGCATATTCTCTGGAGTAACAGTGATGCTATGGGAGGGTGGGTTGTGGGCGTGGCCACACGAGCCTACGCAGCAGGCAGCTCCTGTGAGCGACAGATTGCGGAGAGTGTGGCAATGGCCCGCGAGGGGCCGGCCATCCTGGTATGTGTCCTAAGGGAGTGGAGCCTGCTCCGTCATGGTTCCCACATCGCCCCATGGGGAGAGGACGCTTTCTTTATCCCAGGACGCCTGTGCTGGGATGGGACGTTGCCCGCACCGTCACCATATTGAATCTACTTGATTTCAAGCCAGACCTGGCAGAGTTGGTTTGGAGCAACAGGATCCAAGATACGTATATGCTGTGGCTTCCCCCAAAGCCCCAATTTCCCCATAATGGACTTGGAGCAAATGAAATAGCCTTAATTAAATCATGTCACCAATTCCACATGTGTCTTAAAATTGAGGCTGAAAAGAGAATTGCTGAAGCTTGGTGGGGCCCTAATTATTGGATATAACCACTCACCAATTAGACAGTGGCCTTCAGGTGGCAAACGTGTCCTCAGGCTTGCGTCACCTGCAAGTGAGGCCACCTCTCCGAGGGCTTGTCTGTGACAGAGCTCCACGTGGATAGTCTGGGCTGTTTTCCCAGATGCATGCTGGCTTGGGACACTTGTCACCAGCCCATCTTAGATCCTTGAAAGCAGAGGTGCCAGGACCCTCAAGCCCTGGAGAGACTTGCCCCCAGGAACTTCCTCACATTGAAGAAAAAAGACAAGTAACGGCCTCATCGTGCACATGCACGGACAGTCTGTGGCTTTGGCAGGACGATCCCATGTCAATCATTCATGGGGACTCTGGGGTTCCCCACCAAGCCTGTCTGAAGCCAGGCCTTGGCTCTAAACGAACACACTCCCTCCACCTAGAGTTGGGGTGGGGGCAAGGAAAAGAAAAGAGAACAACATTGACCCTGTGAGTTCCAATGGTATCCTAACGATAATACCCTCTTACATTCCTGTAACATGGCGGAGTTCACTTGCCATAGCTGTCTGGAGATCAGCTATGACTGTTTTTTCTTTTTTTGAAACAAAAGCGAAAACTTGTCTGAATCTCCATTTTTTAAATTTTTTATCTTTTGAGACAGGATCTTTGTCACCCCAGGGCTAGAGTGCAGTGGTGTCATCATAGCTCACAGCAACCTCAAACTCTTGGGCTCAAGTGATCCTTCTGCCTCAGCCTCCCGAGTAGCTGGGACCACAGACCTGTACCACCAGGCCTGTCTAATTTTTTCTATTTTTAGTAGAGATGGGGTCTTGCTCTTGCTCAGGCTGCTTTCAAACTCCTGGCCTCAAGTGATCCTCCTACCTGGGCCTCCCAAAGTGCTAGGATTACAGGTGTGAGCCACCGCCTTGAATCTCCATTTTGAAAAATGGCGATAATAAACCTGCCACCCAGGGTCGTTACAAGGACTGAAGAGATGAGGGGTGTGCTATCTCCAACTCAAATTTCCTTTGTCTTCCCATGGAAATGCCCCCCACCCACCTGCTAAATCCTTCCTCCTAGTCCAGGCAGGCAGTGTGGAGCAGACATGGGAAATGAAGGAAGAAGTAACCTCTGCTTCTTTCTTCCAGTGCAACGGCTGGACGTGGTACCTTGCCAATGACTTCCAGTTCCATCTCACAACGCCGGTGATCATCTTCGTCCACGGAAAGTGAGTCCAACTGGGACAAATCCTTCTCCTCATGTGGCCTCTTTCAAAAAACTCTTAGAAAGGGCCCCAGTTCTGTGCAGAACAGGTTTTTAAAATTTTCTGAAATTAACTTTTCAGAAAAGGAAACACCAAATGCTCTACTGTTCAATTTCTTCCAAATTCTCTTCCAACGTTTGTCATACGTAAGTCAGGATGCGTTTCTCAGAATTGTTATCAGTGTGTATATGTAATATCTAATGCCCAGCTTTTCCTACTTGTTTTTATAAACATTTCCACATATTGCCATAACCTGCATACCTGTCAGTTTTAGGATTTATATACCATTTTTATGGTTGGGCATCTGGATTGTATCCAATTTTTCATGATTATAAATGACTTTGCAGTGAATGTCTTCGTACACACTACTTTTTCTCAGTTATTTCCTTGGGGGCAGATTTCCAAGTGGAAGTCCTGGGTCAAAGGGTAGGAACAATTTCGTGGTGCTTGTTACACAGTGTGAGATTGCTCTGTGGAAAGAGTGACGTGATTTACAGTGCTCTCAGCAATGTATCAGTGTACCCGCTTTCCTACATCAGATATTTATCACCTTAATTTCTGTTAGTTTTCGAAGCACTTTAAGGCTTCAATAGTTCCTGGAAAGACTTATAGTTTGTAGATTATTCATGCCATATTTTAAGAGATTTATTATTCTTTTCTGCTTAAATATATGTTCAATTTAAGAAATATTGGAAAACGTTAGGTTTAAGGGAGGGGAAAACAATCACCCCAGTCTCATATTGTCACT